CGGACACTGCAGCCTCGGCCTACTGGACTTAGGTGATCCTTCCACCTCAATCTTCCAAGTAGCTGGAACTACAGGCGCATACTACCACGCCCAGCTTATTTTTTAATTTATTGTAGAGATCAGATTTCACCCAAGTTGCTCAGGCTGGTCTCGAACCCCTGGGCTCAGGCAATCCTCTTGCTTCAGCCCCCAAAGTGCCGGGATTATAGGCTGAGCCACTGTGCCCAGTCAAAAAAAATTTTTAAGAGACAGAAGTCTCACCATATCGCCCAGGCTGGCCTTAAACTCCTGGGCTCAAGCTATCAGTCTCCTGATAGTTGGGACTACAGGTGTTAGCTGCCACACCTGGCTGAAACATCATTTCTTTAAAGACGCCCTCTAATTCTTCAGACTAGATAAAGTCCTTCTTTTAGAAAGCAGTCAGGCTGGGCTCGGTGGCTCAGCCTGTAATCCTAGGACTTTGGGAGGGGAGTGGATTACCTGAGCCTGAGGGTTCGAGACCAGCCTGGGCAACTTGGCGAGACTGCATCTCTATAATAAATAAAAAAAATTAGCTGGGCATGGTAGCACGCACTGTAGTTCCAGCTACTTGGAAGGCTGAGGCAGGAGGATCACCAGAGCCCAGCAGGTCAACGCTGGGGTGGCCGTGAGTTTGTCACTGCACTCCAGTCTGGGCGATAGAGCGAGTTGTCAACTCAAAAAAAAAAAAAAGAAAGTCAGTGATCCTGCTACTTCTACTTCTCTTTCTTGGTACTTAATGCTCATGTTTTTGTTTTTAAAAATTGTTCATTTAATGAATGTTTTCCTGCCAGACTGTAACCTCCATGAAAGCATGAAAGGTAAAGGGGAGTAGAAATAGATTAAATTAAAAACAAAAGAAATGATCATGTGGCAGTTAACATAGGAAGCTAGAGGAAAATAAAAAGCAAGAGAATGGTATGAGAAAGATTAAAAACTAAATCTAGGCCAGGCTCGGTGGCTCAGCCTGTAATCCCAGCACTTTGGGAGGCTGAGGTGAGTGGATTGCCTGAGCCTGCAGGTTCGAGACCCACCTGGGCAACTTGGCAAGACTTCATCTCTACAATAAGTCAAAAAAAATTAGCTGGGCGTGGTACGATGCACCTGTAGCTCCAGTTACTTGGAAGGCTGAGGCGGAAGGATCGCCGGAGTCCAGCAGGTGGAGGCTGCAGTGGCTGGGAGCATGCCACTGTACTCCAGCCTAGGTGATGGAGTGAGACTCCAACTCAAAAAACAAACAACAACAACAACAAAAACTGAATCTAAAAATCAAGTTGAGACCAAGTTAAAACAGCTTTTACACCTGAGCCTGAGTTATTCAACCCAATAAAGGGGTAGAAGGGGCCGGGCTCGGTGGCTCAGCCTGTAATCCCAGCACTTTGGGAGGCCGAGGTGAGTGGATTGCCTGAGCCCGCAGGTTCAAGACCCGCCTGGGCAACTTGACAAGACCTCATCTCTACAACAAAACAAAAATTAGCCTGGCATGGTAGAGTACGCCTGTAGTTCCAGCTACTTGGAAGGCTGAGGCAGAAGGATCGCCAGAGCCCAGCAGGTCGAGGCTGCGGTGGCCGGGAGCGGCCATTACACTCTGGTCTGGGTGACAGAGTGAGACTCCAACTCAAAAAAAAAAAAAGGGGTAAAAGGAAGTCAACATTTAGAATGGAACAAGCTGAGTATGTTACACAAAGACACAAAGGCACAGAGCCAGCAGAGTTTACAATCTTTAAGGAAATGACTCAGGCGCTTACATACTATGTTACTCATAAAGATAATTTAGTTATTGTTTTCAATATAGCTATTGAAGTGAATTCTCAGAAAGGGACATAGTCAAATGCTGTTTGTGTAAATTTCAGAAAAATACATACCAGTAATATTTAGCTATGCTAATGCTTGAAATTTTAAGGTAAATAATTCAACTCTGAATTCTCTCTCCCTCTAGTTAGACCAAGAGTTTCATTTTCCTGCCAGAGATGAGATTGGCCTTCAGAAAAGCCTTGTGCTTTTATCAGAAATCACACCAAGCCGGGCTCGGTGGCTCAGCCTGTGACCCCGCGCCTTTGGGAGGCTGAGGTGAGTGAATTGCCTGAGCCCGCGGGTTTGAGACCTGCCTGGGCAACTTGGCTGAGACCTCATCTCTACAATAAATCAAAAATCAGCTGGGTGTGGTAGCCTGCGCCTGTAGTTTCAGCTACTTTGAAGGCTGAGGCAGAAGGATCGCCGGAGCCCAGCAGGTCGAGGATGCAGTAGCCGGGAGCAGCCACTGCACTCCAGTCTGGGCGACAGAGTGAGACTCTAACTCAAAAAAAAAAAAAAAAAAAAAAAAAGAAATCACACCACTTTTTGAGGTCAGGGCCATTTAGCTACATCTCCCAGAGAAGAGTTTTCACCATTTGAAAATCACAATGAATGAAACCCAACCCGGCTAAGCAGTGGAAATGATTCCCATTGATAATGTGTATCTGATATCATATGGAACTTGGAATGATACCTTTTTAAAACTGATCAGTGTAAAGTAACTATTCTGCTTTTTCCTTGCATCTTCTGAGAAGGAGTAAAATTAGTACAAGGTATAACTAAAAAAGAAGAAATATGCAACCATATTTTTTATTTCTGATAACCTAGAGTTTTCTAAAGATATATGTCTAGAATATTAAAAGAAACACATCTAGCCAAGCGCAGTGGCTCTTGCCTGTAATCCTAGCACTTTGGCAGATGGAGGTGAAAGGATTACCTGAGCTCAGGGGTTTGAGACCAGCCTGAGCAACATAATGAGACCTCGTCTCTACAATAAATCAAAAAAATCAGCCAGGCCCGTACTCCAGCATGTGCGACAGAATAAGACTTCAACTCAAAAAAAAGAAAAAGAAAAAGAAAAGAAAAAAGAAACACATCTAAGAAGGAAGATTTTGGGGGGAGGTCAGAGTCTCACTGTCACCCAGGCAATCCTCTCACCTCCATCTCCCAAAGTGCTGGGAATACAGCCATGAGCTACCATGCCCAGCTAGGAAAACATTTTTAAATGATAAAGAGCTTTGAAATAAACAGGGTTTTTTTTGGTTAACAAATTATCTTATGCTTATAATGCTGGTGCAGGATCAAAGAAGAAGGAAGAAGTTGATTGGCATTTTCCTTCTAGAGTGTGTTTTCTAGCAATACAATAATCTTTGTCTTTAGACAACTCAGCTCAGTTCAACTCTGCCAAGTAGAAAGTTATGGCCTGTCCTATAATTTAATCACCAAATATAACTACTATTAATACTTTTGTATATAAAATTTCATACTTTATGCATGAAATATGGTTACATATATGTATAACTATTCCTTATTAATAGTCAAAAAGTAAAAACAGCCCAAATGTCCGTCAATGAACATGTGATGAATAAATAATGGCTTAAGTATTATAAATAATGGCTGAATAATATAAAGAAATATTATTCAGTAATAAAAAGAAGTGAGGTACTGATGCATGCTACAAAATGAGCAAATCTTGAAAACACTATGCTGAGTGAAAGACGCCAGTCAATAAGACCACATATTATATGATTCCATTCATACAAGTCCAGAATAGGCAAATCCAGAGACAGAAAGTAGATTAATGGTAGAGTAGGGGTAGAGAAGAAGTAGGGGGAAATAGGGATTCACTGCTAATGGGTATGAGGTTTCTTTTAGAGAAAACAAAACGCTCTAACATTAGACTGTGGTGATAGTGGCACCACAGTGAAAATATTTTTTAAAAAATGACTTGTATACTTTAAACAAGTGAATTACACGTTGTGTGAATTATATCTCAATAAAGAAGTTAAAGAAAAGGCAAAAAATATTCTGTTAGACTATTCTATACTGCTTCATGCCCTCCTTAATTATCATAGATAATATTCCATGTCAATAAGAGATACATCTACATTGCTATTTTAAGTGATTGTACAATGTTCCACTGTATAAATGCACTGACATTTACTTACTTAATGTTTTGTTATTAGACAGAACTTATTTTCAATTGCTTCATTAAAAACCCATGGATAAGCCGGGCTCGGTGGCTCAGCCTGTAATCCCGCGCCTTTGGGAGGCTGAGGTGAGTGGATTGCCTGAGCCCGCGGGTTCGAGACCCGCCTGGGCAGCGAGACCTCATCTCTACAATAAATCAAAAAATCAGCCGGGCGTGGTAGTGCATGCCTGTAATTCCGGCTACTTGGAAGGTGAGGCAGAAGGATCGCCGGAGCCCAGTAGGTCGAGGCTGTGGTGGCCGGGAGCGGCCACCGCACTCCAGTCTGGGCAACAGAGTGAGACTCCAATTCAAAAAAAAAAACCCGTGAATACACATGTCTTTGCATACCTGTACTATTATTTCCATAGGAAACAGAGTAGAACTGAGAGAAGGTTTGTGCTCTATAAAATGACACAGATTGTGTCCGATTGTCCTCCAAAAAAGTCATACTAACACTCATTCCAATGGAAAACAAGAATGCTTTTTTCTCTACATTTCTACCAATGGTAAGCATCATCAAGTTTATTAATCTCTGACAAAAGACTGACAATAGACAATGGCGGATAATACCACTTTTTGAATATATACTTATTTGATGAACGAATGTGAACAGTGTTTTATAATAGTCAATGAATTATGAAATTACTGTACTTCTGTCCTTTGCCCACTTGTGTTATTTTATTCATTTATCTGACACAGCTACAAATTGTTTTTACCAATTTGTCTTTTAATTTTGTTTATGGCATATCTCTGCCTATACATGCTAATATTTTATACACTTAAATTTATAATCCTTTTTCTTTATGGTTCTTGGCCTTAATACCTAGCCTTTTATCATCCTAATATCATAAAAATATCCTGTATTTTCTTCTAATACCTGGCACTTTAATTTAATGTTTTATTGGAACCATCCATTAGTTCCCTGCTGATCTACAATCCTGTGGCATTCTTAAATTCTTTAAGACTGGTTGTGAAACACATTTAAAAGATGACTTACCTAATTGTTGAGCCCATTTTATGGCAGTACCAGTGTCTCCTGCATTGCCTTCAGCTAAGCATACAACTTCTTGCCCAATCTTCCACCCAATTAATGGATAAAAGCCTTCCAAAACAAACAAACAAATAATGTAAGTCATATAATAAATAACAGGGGTGCTAAAAAAATTCGTACATATTTTAAGAAATGTTAAGAGATGCTCACTGCAGCCAGAAGGGTCTGGACACTAATGGTAACCACTTTGAGCACCTCTTGTAATTGCAGAAGATAAATGTGACTTGTATTCATCTTTTGTTATTGGTATATATTGAGTATTACAATTTTAATAGTTTTTTCCTTTCTTAAAATGTGTATACTTTTTTTGGCACCCTCTGTATATAATTTATTACAGCGACTTCCACAATTGAATGATTTGACTATTTCAAAAAATTACAAAGTGCACTGGACACTGTGACTCACGTCTGTAATCCCAGCATTTTGGGAAGCTAAGGCAGAAGAATTGAGTGCGCCCAGGAGTTCAAGACCAACCTGGGCAACATAGCAAGACTTTGTCCTACAAAAAATAATTAGCCTGGCCTGGTGGCACTCATCTGCAGTCCCAGGAGGCTGAGGTGGGATGATATCTTGAGCCCAGGAGTTTTAAGCTGTGGTGAACCATGACAGTACTACTGCACTTCCAGCCTGGGTGACAGAATGAGACTCAAATTGAGAAAAAAAAAAATTGCTAAGTGCCTCTAAAGTCAAAATGTCCGAGTCCAAATCTTAGCCCTCTGACATGTACTAGCTGTGGTCCTGCAAGTCTCTAACCTCCTTGACTGTAAAATGGCCTACCTCAGAAAGCTACTCTAAGAAGAAATGAAGTTAATACATAAAAGAACTTGGCACAGTGCCTGGCATATAATACAAACAATAAATATTAGTTTTTATTAACTATAGATGTATCTGTGTCTCTAGAAACATGGTAACAAATATTTTAATTAAGAAACAAAACGTTACTATGAAATTGGTTTGCTTAAAAAGCAACTATGCTATTGTGCTTATCCATGGTTTCCAAACAAGACTCCTATTATTACAAGCTAATGTAATAACCAACATTTTCCAGCTTCTATTTTCCCATTAGGGAAAAAAGAAGAGCTTGAGATGGGATCAAAGGTAGGAAAAAAATTTTAAAAACCACCTCTGAGTAACTATGCTAGGGCAACAAAGCCTAAACTAAGAGCCTTCAGCCCTGTATGGTATAATTCCACAATCTGGATGTATTGGCTTGCATATCCCAGGAGCAAATTCTTAGCAACTGTCATTAAAACCCTAAACATGCCTGGATCACTAGTTGGGAACTACCACTAAGAAAAAAAATTAACAAAAGAAGAATTTTCTAATATATAGAAAAAAAAATGGAGCTCTAGAAAGGAGTTTAAAACATTACCGCTGACCAAAATACCCTAATCCTTCTGAGTTTTTCTCTAAGATGTTTCTTGGGGGTTTTTAATGCTTAATTAATTAATTTATTTATTTATTTTTGAGTCAAGGTCTCATTCTGTCACCCAGGCTGGAATCTAGTGGCACAGTCACAGCTTACCACAGCCTCAACCTCCTAGGGCTCAGGTGATCCTTCCGCCTCAGCCACCTGAGTATCTGGGACTATAGGCATATGCCACCATGTCTGGCTAATTTTTAAATTTTTCATAGAGACTAGGTCTTGCTATGTTGCCGAGGCTGGTCTCAAACTCCTGGGCTCAAGCAATTCCTACCTGGGTCTCCCAAAGTGCTGGTATCACAGGTGTGAACCACTGCTCACAGCTATGCTTTAATTTAAAGGGGAAAAAGAAAGAAAATGGAAATTAACTGTCTTTAAGAATAATAATACAAAATATGTTAGAGAATATCTTTGACATAAAGTGGGAAAATAGCATAAGTATCACAGAAATTAAATATGAACAGAAGAAGTGATATTTTATTAATAAATAAGATAGCCGGGCTCGGTGGCTCAGCCTGTAATCCCACGCCTTTGGGAGGCTGAGGTGAGTGGATTGCCTGAGCCCGTGGGTTCGAGACCCGCCTGGGCAGCGAGACCTCATCTCTACTATAAATCAAAAAATCAGCCGGGCATGGTAGCGCATGCCTATAATTCCAGCTACTTGGAAGGCTGAGGCGGAAGGATCGCCGGAGCCCAGCAGGTCGAGGCTGCGGTGGCCGGAAGCAGCCACTGCACTCCAGTCTGGGCGACGGAGTGAGACTACAACGCAAAAATAAATAAATAAATAAGATACGTTCAGACTACTTACCTCCAACAGTCTTTTGAGGGCTATTTCCAGTATTGATATCCATAAAGGTCCCAGTTCCCATGGTTAATTTCACGTCACCTGTCTGGAAGCAGCACTCTCCAAACATGGCTGACTGCTGGTCAGCAACCTACAAAAATGATCAAATGTAAGACTCTATCTTAGCAGTGGCCCATTTCATTATATCTCAATGCCTCACTTATTGTACTCAAGATAAAACATTTTTTTTTTCTTTTTCCTTAATTAAAAAAAATCCTGAAGAGAACAAAGGATCAACAACCATAAGACAGTAGTCTTTCTAGGACTAACATTATGTGGCTACCTGATAGGCCCAGGGATTTTTAATGAGCTGTCTACTTAAAATGACTTTTAAGTATCAGATGAGTAATCTTAGAAATGAAAATAAGAATAAAAGTTATACAGAAAAGAACTACAACTTTTTCATTTTCAACTTATAAAGGTATCATTCATTAGTCAGAATAAGTGACTCTCACAAATTTCTTTAAAAAGTGATAGATGTGTGTTTAAACAGATGTGTCAAAAACCATTCATTTCCCAACCACACATTTTTGATAAAAGAAAAATTATAACATTTTGTTTATAATCAAATGTAGATCTGCATACAGCAATATTTAAAGATCCAAAACTCATCTGAAGAACACTTTCTCACTATTCTATAGCTCTTCTAGCCATATCTTCATCTAATTCTGAACCTATCCCTAGATTCAATAGGATTGATCATCTCTAAAAGCATTGGCTCCATCACTGTTTTTTTCTCAGAGTACCAATATAGACTAAAAACTACACAGAATGCAACATTTTAAAAAAATTTAACCATTTTCTGAAAAACAATGCACAGGTAAGTCAGAAAAGGTTATGAATGCCTCTATGATAGAGGACTGACCCAGCGATCTCCTTTCCAAAAATACAGAGGATACTTCTGGTCATATCCAGGGTCCTTTAACTTAAAAAGAAAAAAGATACTTTATTTTGTCAAGGATCTTTTGTTTCTCTTAAAGCTAGTCCCAGCTACTCATATATTCATTTAGTTAATTCTATACAAAGACAAACCCTCAAGTTTTCTACTTACCAAGGCAACTATTGGTATAGGCACACCAAATATCTCTTCATCTACTGATCCAAAATTGTGGCTTCAAATAAAATTGATTAAAAAATTAGTTATAGTTCTAAAAATATTAATTCTAAAATGCAGCAAATTGTTTCTAGCATAGGTCAAAAGCTACATAATGAGCATGCCCCTCAAACATGTAATAAAATGCTTTTCTTCACCAAAGCAAAATGTCATCAAGGATTTTTCTGTGTCTGATGATTGTTATTTACCTCGTGTCCCTCACAGGAGGTAGGAGAGAGAGTGGTATCGAAAGCAGGGAGGTAATAATCCCACTCCAACACATCTGAGCATAAAAACACATCATCAGAATATACATATTTACATATTTCAAACCTATAAACATATTTTAAAATATCACATTGTACATAATAAATATATCTAAGTTTTAAAAACTGTATTATAGGCTAGGCACGGTGGTTCAGGCCTATAATTCAGCACTTCGGGAAACAGAGGTGAGAGGATTGTCTGAGCTCAGGGGTTCAAGACCAGCCTGGGCAACTTGGAGAGACCTCGTCTCTACAATAAATCAAAAACTTAGTCAGACATGGTAGCGCACACCTATGGTTCCAGGTACTTGGAAGGCTTAGGCAGAAGGATCGCCTGAGCACAGCAGGACAAGGCTGAGGTGGCCATGAGTGTCAATGCACTCCAGCCTGGACGACAGAGTGAGACTCCAACTCAAAAAAGAAAATTGTATTATAGCGATATAGTGTACAAGTGAGGATTAACTACATAAATAGGCTGCATGCAGGTGAAGTTTGGGTTTCCAACTGGGGCTTCTAGCTGGCCCTCACTTCCCCTGGTAGTGGACCAAGTACCCTTTGTGTATATTTGTCAGTTAAAATAAATTAACTTAAACATTTTAAATCCAACTTACATTACACAGAAATGAGTGATTCAAAAAGAAGAAAAAAATCTTTACCTTATATGGGTCAAAAAGTCCAGTTGTACTAGCACTTGAAAAATCTGTGGCATATGCAGAACCTAAATTTACATGAGAAAGAACACATTTATTATCAAAGAGTATGAATCAATACCTATCCCTAATGTAGAACTGAGGCTTTTGTCTACTCTCAAATTCATCCCACAATGTATATTTACAATGAGAAGTCTCCAAAAGCAATTTCTCGCTTAATCTTTATGAATTTTATAGTCTACAAAAGCACTTACATGTACATTGTCACTTTATAATCTCAGTTTAAAGATGAAGAAAGAGGTTCAGAAATGTGGCGTGATCACCATAGTCATATACCCAGTTGCAAAGTGGCACATTTGGTACTGACTGTAAGTCTTTTTTATTTTTTTTTTGAGTCAGAGTCTCACTCTGTCACCCAGGCTGGAGTGCAGTGACATGCTCACAGCCATCGCAACCTTGATCTTCTGGGCTCAGGTGATCCTTCCACCTCAGCCTTCCAAGTAGCTGGAACCATAGGTGCACATGTGCCACCACACCCAGCTAATTTTTTGATATATTTTAGAGACAAGGTTTCGCCATATTGTTCAGGCTGGTCTTGAACCCCTGAACTCAGGCAATCCTCTCACCTTGGTCTCCCAAAATGCTGGGATTACAAGCTTGAGCCACTGTGCCTGGCCAGGCTACAAGTCTTATCACCCTTGAATTAAGCCTGTTCCCTAGGTGTATATTTAGGATTTCATCACAATTTAAAATTTGCCCTTCTCCCACGCCTTTGGGAGGCTGAGGTGAGTGGATTGCCTGAGCCCGCGGGTTCGGGACCCGCCTGGGCAGCGAGACCTCATCTCTACAATAAATCAAAAAATCAGCCGGGCGTGGTAGCACACGCCTGCAATTCCAGCTACTCGGAAGGCTGAGGCGGAAGGATCGCCAGAGCCCAGCAGGTCGAGGCTGTGATGGCCGGGAGCGTCCACTGCACTCCAGTTTGGGCGACAGAGTGAGACTCCAACTAAAAAAAAAAAAAAAAAAAAAATTTGCCCTCCTCTTATAATAAATCCGAACTAAGTCTAGTTTTACTACAACATGTAGTTATTGGGGTGTCAAAGAGCAGTATGTCTGGAATACAGGACAAAGTAACTTCCACTTTTTTCAGGCAAATCATTTCTCTTGGTTAAATTTCAGTTAGTTGAGATAGATCTGTCAGGTCATCTTTACCTTTTGTTAGTTTATGTAGCAACCAGGTATCAAGAGTCCCAAAGCAACAATTTTCTTCTTCAACTGCCTTTTGCACCTTGAAAACACAACAGCACAAAACTAAGAAAAGGGCTAAACTATAAAGTATATGATTAAGCGCATTATCGGTAGATATAATTTCATTTTTGATAAAAATTAATATGTACACAGAAAAACTATTTCTAGCCAGCCATGTGGTGGCTCACACCTATAATTCCAGCACTCTAGGAGGCTGAGATGAGAGGACTGCCTGAACCCGCGGGTTTGAGGTCAGTCTGGGCAACTTGGAGAGTCCTCATCTCTACAATAAATAAAAAAAAAATTAGCCAGGTGTGGTGGCACATGCCTGTAGTTCTAACTACTTGGAAGGCTGAGGCAGAAGGTTCACCTGAGCACAGCAGGTCAAGGTTGCAGTAGCTGTGAGCATGTCACTGCACTCCAGTCTGGGTGACAGAGTAAGACTCCAACTCAAAAAAAAAAGAAAAAGAAAAACTATTTCTAGAATATATTTCAAATAGTTCTAAGCGATTATTACAGGGTATGAGATTTAGTAGGAGAGATTTTCTATATAGTATTATAATATTTATAAAAAAGCTTTAGTTTTACATCAAGCTAGTGTTATTTTTTTTCTTTTTTCTTTTTGAGTCATAGTTTCACTCTGCTGCCAGGCTAGAGTAGCATGATCACTGCTACTGTAGCTTTGACCAGCTTGAATCAAGCGATCCTTTGGCCTCAGCCTTCTAGGTAGCTGGCACTACAGTTGCGTGCCACCAGGTGCTGCTAATTTTTTTTTTATTATTATTATTGTAGAGACGAGGTCTTGCCATATTACCCAGGCTGATCTCAAACTCCTGGGCTCAGGCAATCCTCTTGCCTTGGCCTCCTCCTCTTGCTCGGATTAGATGCATGAGCCACTGTAGACAGCCAGGCATGTGTTTTGTGTTCTAAAAAAAGCAAAATATATATTCTAGTTTAGACACACAAATACACTATCATAGCCCAAAGCAGGCACGGTACACAGTGGCTCATAGACCAAATCCAGTCCACTACTTCTTTTTGCACAGCAAGTTAAGAATGTTTTTGAATTTTTCATGGTTACAAAAAAAGCAAAAGAAGAAGAATATTTTGACACACGGAACTAAATAAAATTCAAATTTCCATGTCCAAAAAAAAAGTTTATTGGAACACAACCATGCTCATTTGTTTATGGATTATCTACAGCTGTTTTCATGCTACAATGGCAGAGTAGTTGTGACAAAAACTTTATGGCCCTCAAAGCCTAAAATATTATTATTTTAGCCTTTACAGAAAAAAAAAAAGTCAATTCCTGGTCTAAAGCATATCAAGGGAAACAAATGTCAAACTGCTTTAAACTAGCTAGTAGAGAAATTTAAATGCTTGTTAGGATATTATTAACCTAAGGAAAGCAATTTCCTGAAACAAATTTTATCCAAGTCTCCTTTGTCCTTCAAGACTAGCATTTCCAGCCGGGCTTGGTGGCTCAGCTTATAATCCCGCACCTTTGGGAGGCTGAGGTGAGTGGATTGCCTGAGCCTGCGGGTTCGAGACCCACCTGGGCAACTTGGTGAGACCTCATCTCTACAATAAATCAAAATGAGCCAGGCGTGGTAGTGTGTGCCTATAGTTCCAGCTACTTGGAAGGCTGAGACGGAAGGATTGCTAGAGTCCAGCAGATTGAGGCTGTGGTGGCCAGGAGCGGCCACTGCACTCCAGTCTGGGTGAGAGAGTGAGACTTCAACTTAAAAAAAAAAAGACTAGCATTTCCTAGCTCTGTCCAACTCTGTTTCCCTCCTACAATCCTCCTGACTCAGTCTGCACACCCCATGGATAGCTTCCATCCAGCTATTATCTCATAGCATTACTGCTTCTCTACCTGACCCTAAAATCCTTAAAGGGCAGGTATGAGATTGTATTCACAATCATACCTGCAACCCCTAGGAAGATTCCTGGCATATAGAAGATATATATATATATATATATATATATATTTTTTTTTTTTTTTTTTTTTTTTTTTTTTTTTTTGAGTTGGAATCTCACTTTGTCATCCAGGCTGGAGTGCAGTGGCATGCTGCTCATGGCCACCGCCGCCTTGACCTGCTGGACTCAGGCAATCCTTCTACCTCAGCCTTCCAAGTAGAAATACAGGCGCACACCACCACGCCTGGCTAATTTTTTTTTTTTGATTTATTGTAGAGACGCGGTCTCACCAAGTTGCCCAGGCTAGTCTCAAACCCCTGAACTCAGGCAATCCTCTCGCCTCGGCCTCCCAAAGTGCTGGGATTACAGGCTTGAGCCACTGTGCCCAGCCTGAAGATATTTTTTTAAAAAAATACTTAAGTAAATAACTGAACTGAAAAGCAAATATAAATATTAAAAGATAAGTTAACTTTAATAGCACAAAGGATCAATAAAATGAAAACAAATGACATGAGTTCCAAAAAGGAGGTCATTTGTAGGTTACTTATAAGAAGTACCTTGAGGATTCTATTCAAGAGTTAAATATAGAGTGCTTTAAAGTAATATTATTATATTTCAAACTCTTCTTACATTTTGAAGTTTGTATTCTAAAATTTGTTCCAGATACAATTTTTTTAATAGTCAAATGTTAATGTATATTTTAGTAAGTATCTCAGTGCCTGGCAGATAGTAAATTAATTTATCCATTCAAAAAATATTTATGAGCCAGGTCCTTTAACAGGTGGTAGGCCCTTGTGAGTTTAGGGTGACACAGAGCAGACATCAGCACTTCCTAAGGTATGGGGATGAAAGTCAATCCCCCTCACACTGGCTAAGGACTGCAAAGGGCTCTACTCTAAGTGCAAGAGTAAACCCGATGATGGGCTCTCATACGAACTAAAACTCAGATTTGAATCATCTCAACTATAAAACTAAATTGAGATAATCCTGGCTCTTGGAAGAATAAAAGAAATAAACATAAATCCTATCTAGAGCAAGACAGCATTATGTTAAGGCTCTCATAAATTCTATACACAATTTTGCAAATATAACATCTAGTTCATATATACACACATACATATAGATAAGTAACCACGCATATGAAGAACAAGAACACGAAAAAAAAAAACCAGGAAAAAGAGACAGACCATGGGAGCTACAGATATTGAAATTCACAGTCATGAACTTTAAAATAAACATGCTAATTATATAGGAAAAAAGAAATTATAGAACAAAAAATGAAGAACTTAATGAATGGGCTTTAACAGTACATTAGAAACAACTGAAAAGGCTGGGTCCTGTGGCTCATGCCTGTAATCTCAGAACTTTGGGAGGTTGAGGCAGGAGGATTGCTTGAGTTCAGGAGTTCAAGAAAAGCCTGGGTGACATAGGGAGAGTTCCTCTCTTAAAAAAAAAAAAAAAAAGTTTTTAAAAGTCAGATATGGTGGTGCACGCCTGTAATCCCAGCTACTTTTTGGAGGCTGATGTGGAAGGATCACCTGAGCCAGAAGGTCAAGGCCATAGTGAGCTGGGATTGTGCCAATGTATTCCAGCCTGGGCTGCAGAGTGAGACTTCGATTCAAAAAAAATTCTTTTGGTAAAATTCACTAGGAAAGCCATCTGGCCCTGGGCCTTTCCAGGTAAGAATTTACTACTTACTAATTCAATTTTTTTGTTTGCTATAGATTTATTCAGATTATTTCTTCTTGAATCATTTTCAATAGTTTGTGTATGTCTAGAAATTTTCCATTTTATATTACCTAATAGGTTGGCATATACTTATTCACTGTATTGCCCAGTAATGCTTTTTATTTCTTTGAGGTCAGTATTAATATCCCCTCTTTCATTCATAATTTTAGTTACTTGGGTCTTCTATTTCTCTTTTTTTGTTGTTAGTCCAGCGGATCTTTTTTTTTTTCTTTTTACTTTTTTTGAGACAAGGTCCCACTCAGTTGCCCAGTTGGTGTGCAGTGTGGCACAATCACAGTTCATTGTAGCCTCAAACTCGAGGGCTCAAGGAATCCTCCTGTCTCAACTTTCTGAGTAGCTAAGACTACAGGTGTGCACCACCACACACAGATAACTTTTTTTTGGTAAAGACACGGTCTTGCTATATTGTCCAGGCCAGTCTCAAACTCCCGACCTCAAGTGATCTTCCTGTCTTGGCCTCCCAAAGCGCTATGATTACCAGTATAAGCCTAATCTTTTCAAAGAAACTATTTTTTTCTTCATTGTTTTTCTATTCTCTATTTAATTAATTTCTATGTTATTATTTCTCTACTTCTGCTTGTTTGGGGTTTAGTTTGCTCATCTTTTTCCAGTGTCATAAGGTAGAATGTTAGATTACTGACTTAATATTTTTCCTCTTTGTAAATGTAGTCTCCTATATGTAATACAGGCTTGTTATAAATTTCCTCCTAAGCACATTTTTATCTGCATCCAGTAAGTTTTGGTATGTTGCCCTTTTCTCTTCATTCACCTCAAAGTATTTCCTAATTTCTCTTGTGATTTCTTATTTGACCCATTCATTATTTAAAAGTGTGTTGTTTAATTTCCACATTGTTTGTTTGTTTGTTTTGAGTTGGAATCTCACTCCATCCCCCAGACTGGACTCCAGTGGCCGCTCCCAGCCACTGCAGCCTCGACCTGCTGGGCTCCGGTGATCCTTCCGCCTCAGCCTTCCGAGTAGCTGGAACTACAGACGTGCACTACCACGCCCGGCTAATTTTTGATTTATTGTAGTGATGAGATCTCGTCAAGTTGCCCAGGTGGGTCTCAAACCCGTGGGCTCAGGCAATACACTCACCTCAGTCTCCCAAAGCTCTGGAGTTACAGGCTAAGTCATCGAGCCCGGCTCACCTTGTTTTTTGAACTTCCGAAGTTTTCTTCAGTTACTTCCAATTCGATTTCTTTATGGTCAGAAAACATACTTTGCATGATTTCAAACCTTTTAAATTTACTGAGGTTTGTAATTCCAGTTCCATGTACACTTGAGAAGAATTTATATTCTGCTGTTGTTGGATGAAGTTTTCTGTAAATGTCTGTTAAGTCTACCTAGTTTTTACTGTTATTCGAAGTTTCTATTTCCTTGTTCATCTTCTATCTATCCAACGCTGAAAGAGGGGTACTGAAGTCTCCAACTATTAATGTTCAACTGTCTACTTTCCCCTTCAATTCTGTCAGTTTTTGCTTTATGTATCATGGGGCTTTATCATCAGGTGCATATATGTTTACAATTGTTATATATTCCTAATGAATTGATCTTCTTATCATTGTGAAATTCCTTTTTTATCTCTACAAACTTTTTTGTTGTAAAGTCTATACTATCTGATATTAGCACAGCCACTCTAGCTTTTATGGTTGCGGCATGAATGATGCATCTTTTTCACTCATTTACTTTTAACGCATTTGTAACTTTAAAATCTAAAGTGTATCCCCTGTAGACAACCTATAGTTGGAGCTTGTTTTTGTATCCAGTCTAAAATCACGATGAGCCAGACACAGTGGCTCACACCTGTAATCCCAGCATTTTGGGAGGCAGAGGCAAGAGAACTGCCTGAGCTCAGGGGTTCGAGACTAGCCTGGGCAACTTGGCAAAACCTCATCTTTACAATAAATTAAAAAATTAGCTGGGCGTGGTGGCACATACCTATAGTTCCATCTGTTTGGAAGGCTGAGGCAGAAGGATCACCTAAGCATAGCAGGTCGAGGCTGCGGTAGCCAAGACTGTGCCACTACACTCCAGCCTGGTCGATAGAGACCCCGACTCAAAAAATAAAATAAAATCACAATGAGATATTATTACTTACCCACTAGAATGGCTAAAATATTAAAGACTGATAACATAAATTACGATAGCAAATAAAATAAAACATCCTCTCATCACTGATGGTGGGTATGCAAATTGTTAAAGTCACTTTGGAAAAGTGTTTTGATGTTATCCACTAATGGAGAAGATATATACACATTCATGACCTAAAAATTTCATTTCTATGTATAGACACAGTATTTACATACACACCAAGACATGCATTTTTCATAATAGCCAAAAAAACGTAAATAACCAAATGTATATGAACATAATAGATAAATAAGCTGTGGTAAAATCATATTTTGAACAACAACAATGAAAATATAAGCATGAGCTGGACTCGGTGGCTCAGCCTGTAATCCTGCTCCTTTGGGAGGCTAAGGTGAGTGGATTGCCTGAGCCCGCGGGTTTGAGACCCGCCTGGGCAACTTGGCGAGACCTCATCTCTACAATAAAACAAAAATTGGCCAGGCGTGGTAGCGTGCGCCTGTCGTTCCAGCTACTTGGAAGGCTGAGGCGGAAGGATCGCCGGAGCCCGGAGCCCAGCAGGTGAGGCTGCGGTGGCCGGGAGCGGCCACTGCACTCCAGTCTGGGTGACAGAGTGAGACTCCAACTCAAAAAAAGAAAAAAGAAAATATAAGCAAGTTAATTTACATAGATGGGTATATTTCACAACATAATGTTGAGCAAAAGAAATATGACACAAAAGAAAATACATGTAGGCCAGGCTCAGTGGTTCAGTTTGTAATCCCAGCACTCTGGGAGGCCGAGGCAAGTGGACTGCCTGAGCCCGCGGGTTCGAGAACAGCCCAGGCAACTTAGTGAGACCTCGTCTCTACAATAAACCAAAAATTAGCCAGGCATGGTAGCGTGCGTCTGTAGTTCCAGCTACTTGGAAGGCTGAGAGACCAGCAGGTCAGGGTAGCCGTGAGTGTGCCACTGTATTCCAGCTTGAGACTCCAACTCAAAAACAACAACAACAAGAAAAGAATATACACGTACAATTCTATTCACTAGCTCAAAAATATTCAGGTAAAACTAAAGCACAATGTTGAAGAATAAACATACAAATTGTAAAAGTAGAAAGAAAATGTGACATAAACTGTCAGTGTTCTAGTTGTTGATCCAAGTGGTATTACACAGATGTCTGTTCTACAGTATCTCACTGAGTGGTACATTTTTGCTTTGTTCACTTTTCTAAATGTGTATGACACAATGAAATGGTTTTAAAGAAAAAATAAACCAAGTAAAGATTACTTGTTTTCCATTCCAGTATGTGGTGGACACTTAATTTTCTGTCAAATAACCAAATTACTATCTTTATTCCTTGAATTTTTTCTTCCCTATAGCTTTTATCTCATTTCTACACACACAATTTTTTCTTACCTCAATCATGTTCTGTAAAATCCAGACCAACCGCAAAGAAGAATGCTGGGTTGTGAAACTGAACAAACTGGCCGCAAAAAAGCGTTTACTTCTAGAGAAAAAGTGAATTGCTCGGCAGGAACTGTGGAATACCTATTTTAAAAGAGATATTTTAGGAAAATGCATTTAATGGTGTTTGATATTTCCAGGTCAATTCCATACACATGCAAACAAACAATAACAAAACAAATCATTTAACTACTTATGATAGTGTTCTCAGCACTTAAAAAAATCAAATACAGTAATATTTTTCTAAACGGGCAATCTATATTCTCACATAAGAAATGCTACACATCTATTTTGAATTCCTTTAGTAAATACCAAAAGATCAAGTACAGTATTTATAAAAGTCTTCTTAAAACAACTGTTTTCTATCTCTCTACCTATTTTTAACTAATAAAGTGAAGGGAGAGAATCAAAGGAAGGGGTCATGTTTGCAAAATTCTGTTTTTTTGTTTTTTGTTTTTGAGTAGGAGTCTCACCAAGGCTGGAGGGCAGCAGCATAATCAGAGCTCACTGGAGCCTCGACCTTCTGGGTTCAGGTGATCCTTCCATCTCAGTCTACCAAGTAGCTGGGACCGTAGACATACACCTCCAAGTCTGGCAAATTTTTTAGAAGAGACAAGGTCTCACTATGCTGCCCAAGCTGGTCTCGAGCTCCCGGGCTTAAGCAATACTCTCACCTCAGCCTCCCAAAATGCTAGGATTACAAGTGGGTGTGAACCACCGCACTCATCTATGCAGTATTCTTATTTCACTGAGATAAATGTAAATTTTATCATAGGTCTCTCATATAAAAGTACACTATTTAATAACAGGGTAGCATTAATTCACTGTTATTCAAATACACCACCTACATAAAGCTGCCAGTTAATCTTTGATTTTGAAGGCTCGTCTTCCAAATATTTTCACATAATTCATAACCTTCAATCTTAACTTTAAACTGCCTCCTAATCAAAGACCTGAGAAACCTTAATCCCAGTCGAAGAATGAGCTCTTACTAGCTCTTTTTCTTTCCTATTAGAAATCAGGTTAGTACCAATGAAGCAGGAAGTTTCCTTAAACATTAAGTTCTTAAAATCTGGGTAGAGCTGGGTATGGTGGTTATAATCTCAGTATGTTGGGAGGCCGAGGTGAAGGGATTGCCTAAGCCCAAGGGTTTGAGAACAGCCTGGGAAACTTAGAAACCTCATTTCTACAATTAAAAAAAAAAATTAGCCAGGTGTGGCAGTGCACGCCTGTAGTTCTGGCTACTTGGAAGGCTGAAGCAGAAGGATTGCTGAAACCCAGCAGGCCGACGCCGGGGTGGCCATGAGCGTGCCACAGCACTCCAGCCTGGGCAACAGAGTAAGACTCCAACTCAAAAAAGAAAAAAAAAATCTAGGCTGTATGATTTTATTTAGTATTATTTATACTTATCTAATTATCAAAGATGAAATACTACATAAAGTTTCAAATTTGCTTCTTAATAAGCAAAATCTTTAATTTTTTTTTTTTTTTGAGTAGGCGTCTTACTCTTGTTGCCTAGGCTAGAGTACAGTGGCACACTCTCGACCACTGCAGCCTCAACCTGCTAGGCTCAGGTTATCCTTCTGCCTCAGCCTTCCAAGTAGCCGGAACCACAGGCACGAGCCACCATGCCAGACTAATTTTTGATTTATTGTAGAGACAAGGTCTCGCCAAGTTGTCCAGGCTGGTCTCAAACCCTTGTATTCAGACAATCCTCTGGCCTCCACCTTCCAAAGTGTTGGGATTATGGGTGTGAGCCACTGTGCCCAGTTAAAATCTTCAATTAAAAAAAAAAAAGCCTTAGGTATGCAGAAAACAAGCTTTGAGTTTTCAGGTTTTTAAGACATACTAAAAAAAAAAACCAAAAAACCTTATCCTGTCACGTATTACAAGGACATACATGAGCAATTCAATTTATGAAACTGATGTTTTACAAAATACTCAGTTACGGAGAACTTACCCACTTCTTGTCAGATTTGCTCACTTTTGTTAATCCCTGGCTCACTCCAAAAATTAATTTTGAGTTGGAGTCTCACTCTGTCACACAGGCTAGAGTGTAGTGGCACGCTCACAGCCCCTGCAGGCTCAACCTGCTGAGTTCAGGTGATTCTTCCATCTCAGCCTTCCACGTAGCTGTAACTATAAGTGCATCACTACGTCTAGCTAATTTTTTGGTTTATTGTTGAGACAAGATCTTACCAAGTTGCCTAGGCTGGTCTTGAACCCCTGGACTCAGGCAATCTTCTCACCTCTGCCTCTCCCTCCCAAACTGCTGTGATTACAGGCATGAGCTATTGTGCCCAACCTCTAAAATAAATTTAAATTTGGGGTTTACTTATGAAAGATAGTAATAAATTTTCCTTCTTTTTTTTGAGTTGGAGTCTCACTCTGTCACCGAGACTGGAATGCCGTGGCATACTCACGGCCACCACAGCATCGATCTTCTAGGCTCTGACGATCCTTACGCCCCAGCCTTCCAAGTAGCTGGAACTATAGACACATGTCACCACACCCAGCTAATTTTTGATTGCTTGTCTCGCCAAGTTGCCCGGGCTGGTCTCGAACCCATGGGCTCAGGCAATCCACTCTCGGCTCGGCCTCCCAAAGTGCTGGAATTACAGGCTGAGTCAATGAGCCCATCATTCATTTTTAATTGACAAACCAATCCAAAAAAATGTGTAGACTTGGTCCTCTCTACATTTTAGTCTTGTCTGTTTTAACTTCCTTTTGACCTTGTGCAGTGCTCAAACTTACTGCATTTCTGTATACTTTACATAGCCCATATATTTTTTACATTATTTGTTAAAATGTAAGACCCTTTGTTTTGAGTTGGGGTCTCATTCTGTCACCCAGGCTGGAGTGCAGTGGCATGATCACGAGGACCACCGCTCATGGCAGTCTCAATCTCCTGGGCTCGTGATCCTTCTACCTTAGCATCCCGAGCAGCTAGGACGACAGGCATATATCACCACGCCCAGCTAATATTTTTATTTGTTTGTAGAGACGAGGTTAAACTATGTTACCCAAGCTGGCCTCAAACTCCTAAACTCAGGCAATCCTCCTGCCTCGACCTCCCAAAGTGCTGGGATTACAAGCGTGAGCCACTGTGCCCAGCCAAAATGTAAGACTTTAAAAAATTATTTATTTAGTTGGGCTCGGTGGCTCAGCCTGTAATCTTGCACTTTGGGAGGCCGAGGTGAGTGAATTGCCTGAGCCTGAGGGTTCGAGACCTGCCTGGGCAACTTGGCGAGACTTCATCTCTACAATAAATCAAAAATTAGCCGGGCATGGTAGCACGTGCCTGTAGTTCCAGCTACTTGGAAGGCTGAGGCGGAAGGATCCCCGGAGCCCAGCAGGTCAAGGCTGCAGTGGCCGGGAGTGGCCACTGCACTCCAGTCTGGGTGACGGAGTGGGACTCCAACTCAAAAAAAAACACAATTATTTATTTAAAGCTACCATTAGGCTAGAATAAGAACAACAGTAAGAAAAAGACTGGAGGACTGGGAGACTGGAGGAAAGCAATGCTGGCAAGAGACTGCCAACAGACCTCAATTACATCACCATCTGACAAGGGGCTAGCCTTGGCCAAACTGATGATGTTGCTGCCTGTTCTATACCCTAAAAATTTCCAAGGGCCTCAGTCAATAAGCCATGAGCATCTGGAAAGTGATGAATGTGGGGTGGGGCTCCTTCACTGCAGGACAGGCCCTAGAGTTGCGTGTGCTAAACTGTGAGTCTGTGTTTGTGTGCATTTTTCTGCTAAGAGGAACCCAAATTTTCATCAGGCACATGATCACTATTAAGGAGACATGGCGTTTTAAATGCTCAGTTTTGTATTTGAGGTCATACTTCTGCACCACGATTTGTGAATTGGGGTTTAAACTACAGAATCACAATTTATTTTCATATCCCAGTTTTTTTCAAAGGAATAAAAGTTCTAAACATCTCAATGACTAACTTAAGGAATGCTTAATGGACTGACCATTAAAAACTAAAATTAGGCTGAGTGCAATGGCTCATGACATCCAGTACATTGGGAGGTTGAGCCGGGAGGACTGCTTGAACTTGGGAGTTCAAGACCAGCCTGGGCAACATAACACCGTCCCTACAAAAAATAAAAAATTTTCCCAGGTGTGGTGGCAAGTGCCTGTAATCCCTGTACTCAGGAGGCTGAGGTAGGAGAATCACTTTAGCCCAGAAAGTAGAGGCTGCGGTAAGCCATGACCATGCTACTACACCACAGCCTGGGCAACAGAGTGAGATCCCCAACTCAAAAATAAAAATAAAAAATAAATACGATAACAAAAAGAGCCAGGCACAGTGTCTTACACCTATAATCCCAGCGCTATAGGGGGCTGAGATGATTGTCTGAGAAGCCCAAGGAGTTTGAGACCAGCCTGGGCAACATGGTGAGAACTTGTCTCTATAATAAATAAAAAAATTAGCCGGATGTGGTTACAGCTACTTGGAAGGCTGAGGTGGAAGGAACATCTGAGCCCAGTAGGTCGACGCTGCAATGGCTATGAGTGTGCTACTGAACTCCAGTCTGGGCGACAGAGTGAGACTCTAACTAAAAAAAAAAAAAGTAAAAAGAAAAATCAATTCAGGTGAGATTATGGCAAAATGGTTTCACTCGTGTTGCTGTTATATTCTATAACATATTCACACTTGTTTTCACATAAAATTAATGTCTTCAGATACTAATAAAGTAAAATTGATGCTCCAAACACTCCCCTGGGCGCATCAACAGCTGAGAAGGCATTCAACCATGAGGCATTGGAAGTATTCAAATAATTAATATGCAATGTTGATTATGACATCAAATATTAAAGGTCTGACCACCTCTGAGGAGCTGGAAAATTTCTTACCCTTTTACTCAGTGATCTCACACTCAAGAGTGAGGATGATTTGAGGGAAATAATAGAAGAAGACCTGATGTTGATGCAGTTGCTGTTGTCACTGTCATCATCCCTGCCATTTACTAATGGCCTATTATGTGCCAGGCATAAACTTAAGAGCTTGTGGCAGTATGCTAGTTACCTAGTTCAATATCCATCTTCCTCTTTTATAACAAAAGATGATGAAATTTCGACATTTCCGTCTATCTACTCTGTATCTTGTCCATTTCTCAAAGACAAAAACATGAATTCTTACTAACATACGAAACTGTGGTCCACCCAAAACTCCTCAGAACTTCCCAAGGTACAGGCAGATACTTTAAGTCTACCACATATGCTTTTGGGTGACTATTAATAAACCACTGGTATGGAGAATGTGTGCATGTGCATGTATTTTCTTAATGTCCTAAAACAAATGAGGTAGGAAATAATACAATTAAGTCTATAGTTAAAGGACACCTACAAGAAAAAACAATAGTATTCAAATTACAGAAGAAAAAGATTACCTTTAACAGAAGAGAATTATTCCAGGATTTAACAAGGTCAACAGCTCTTAGGTCTTGCCAACTAATAAAGTTGTGAAAATGATTTCCTGTTTTCCTAAGAAAGATAGAAACAGTATTTCGAGGCTCAGTATAAATCAGAGACTATATTAAAGATCCACCACAAGAGAAAACAAAATTAAAGGCCAAACTGTAATTTCAAAGAAAAGTTTAAATGAAATTTTCTTCTTTTTTATTTTATAAACTGAACATGCTGTATAACAATTACAATGTGACATGTATGAAATTTTAGGTCAGATTCTGTCCAAAAAGATATTCCTTTTGAAATACTACAATGTATGTGCTTCTAAAAACAAAAATAACTAATTAAGAGGCCTCTGAAGACTTGCTATACACATTTTAAAAGCAAGATTAAAAAGCCAAAGTTTTTCTACTTTTATCATACTTATCCTTATATTCACAATCAGATGAAAACTTCTGATCTACAGAAGAGTTGGAATGTTGCCTGAGCCTATTTCTGTACCTCTCAACTTTAGGATTGGCTTAGCTATCGGCAACCTAACATGCCTACCAAAATTTCTCCAATAAACACAAATCCAAAAAACCTTGGGTCAATACCCCAATAAAAGTACAGAGCTAAGGAATACAGAAGAAAAAGTCCTTTTTCCATTGAGGCTTCTGCAGATCAACCACTGGCATCTATTCATCTTCAACATCCAACTCAGGCTTGCTTTCTACCCCATCTCCAGGCCTCCTCCTGTATGAATTGAACCATGCTCAATGCCTAAGACTGTCATTCCCCACTCTGCTTATGCAGTCCAAACTCATGGTCACATCTTCACCCGTAAAGACCATGCAAATGCTCTATCACTGAATGCCTAAAACTCCAATTGATCAGCCAGCACATGTTGCTAATAATTCAGTTCTTCCAAATATACTCCTTAAATACCTTTCCTTCAAACTCACTACAACTTTTTTTTTTTTAAGTAGGAGTCTCACTCTATCACCCAGGCTGTAGTGCAGTAGCATGCTCACAATCACTGCAGCCTCGACCTGCTGGGCTCAGGTAATCCTTCTACTTCAGCCTTCCAAGTAGCTGGGACCACAGGTATGTGCCACCAAGCCTGGCTAATTTTTTGCTTCATTGTAGAAACGAGGTCTCACCAAATTGTCCAGGCTGGTCTCGAACCTCTGGGCTCAGGCAATCCCCTTACCTCCACCTCTCAAAGTGGTGCTGGGATTACAGGCGTGAGCCACTGCACCAGGTCTCACTGCAAACTTTATCCCTCAAACATACCCTTTTCTTCCTACCAACCCATCCTGGGTTTGCTTACTTTCTAGGATCCCATGGTCTATCACTTTAAGTAACAACTTGCCATCACACCCCTTGACTTTCTTTTTTTTTTTTTAACTGAGGCAAAATATACATAACATGAAGTTTACCTTTTTTTTTTTTTTTGAGTTGGAATCTCACTGTCACCCAGACTGGAGTGCAGTGGCCGCTCCCGGCCACCGCAGCCTCGACCTGCTGGGCTCCGGTGATCCTTCCGCCTCAGCCTTCCAAGTAGCTGGAACTGCAGGCGTGTGCTACCACACCTGGCTACTTTTTTATTTATTGTAGAGATAAGGTCTCGCCAAGTTGCCCAGGCAGATCTCGAACCTGCGGGCTCAGGCCATCCACTCACCTTGGCTTCCCAAAGTGCTGGGATTACAGGCTGAGCCACCGAGCCCGGGCGAAGTTTCCATTTTAAGAGTGCAACTCAGTAGCAGTAAGAACACTCGGATGCTGTGTAACCATCACCACCGTTCTAAAACTCTCTTATCACCCCAAACAGAAGCTCTGTAACATTTAAGTAATTCTCATCCCCTCCTCAACCCAGCCCTTGTAGCTCCTATTCCACTTTCCGGAATCTGCCTATTCTGGGGGCATCATATATAAGTAGAATTAGACAATGTTTGTTCTTTTGTATTTGTCTTACTTCACTTAGTATAATGTTTTCTAGAGTCACCCATATTGCAGCATATATCAGAACTTACTTCCTTTTTATGGTTGAGTAACATTCCATTGTATTTACACACTACCTTTTATCAATATATCTGTTGATGCACACTTGAGCTGTTTCCACCTTTGGCTTTTGTGAATTACTGCTGCTATAAAACACTGGTATGTAAGTATCTGTTCGAGTCCTTGCTTTCAGTTTCTTTAGGCATATACTTAAGAGTGGAATTGCTGGGTCATATGTTAATTTTATGCTTAACTTTTTGAGGAACTGCCAAAACGTTTTCCACAGCAGCTACACCATTTTACATTCCCCCAGCAATGTATGAAGGTTCTAATTTTTCCAAATCCTCACCAACACTTGTTAGCTTCTTTTTTAAAAAATTATTGCCATGCTAGTGGATGTGAAGTGGTATCTCATTGTAGTTTGAATTTGCAGTTCCCTAACACTAATGCTGAGTATCTTTTTGTGTGCTTATTGGCTATTTATGTATTATTCTAGTCCTTTGTCCATTTATGAATTGAGTTGTTTGGGTTTTTTGTTGTTGAGCTATAGAAATTCTTTACATATTCTGGATATTAATCCCTTACCAGGGATTAGGAATTAATATGCTCCATGCTTCCATGTTACAATTTACAAATACTTTTTCTTATTCTGTGAGTTGTCTTTTCACTATCTTAATAGTGCCTTTTTTCCCCATTTTTCACCTTTATTAACAGAAATTGCAACATTTGCCTACATCATGAACATGTTACTTCTTTTTCCTTCAGTGATCCAAAAGATCACTGTTATTATTAGTACAAATCACAGAAGTGATTCTCCTATTGTTTCAGTTCTCCATCTTAGACTAAATTACAAATCAAACATACCAAGATATACACCATCCATGTTATATGCTGCAGTTGGTTTTCAGATGTCTAACTGCAGAGTTGATATTGGTGTAATTTTTTCAGACATATCTTAAAGATGCAAATTGCATATCATATCAAAATAATTTTAACAAGCCGGGCTCGGTGGCTCAGTCTGTAATCCCGTGCTTTGGGAGGCTGAGGTGAGTGGATTGCCTGAGCCTGTGGGTTCGAGACCCGCCTGGGTAACTTGGCGAAACCTCATCTCTACAATAAATCAAAAAATTAGCCGGCGTGGCAGCATGTGCCTGTAGTTCCAGCTACTTGGAAGGCTAAGGCAGAAGGATCACCGGAGCCCAGCAGGTCGAGGCTGTGGTGGCCAGGAGTGGCCACTGCACTCCAGGCTGGGTGACAGAGTGAGACTCTAACTAAAAAAAAAATAATAATAATAATTTTAACAGCTGGGCACAGTGGCTCACATCTGTAATCCAGCACTTTGGGGGGCTGAGGTGGAAAGACTGCTTGAGTCCAAGAGATCAAGACCAGTCTAGGCAACATAGCAAATCCTTGTCTCTACAAAAAAATCAAAAAATTATCTGGGCATAGTGTTGTGCACCTACAGTCCCAGCTATTTGGGAGACTGAGGTGGAAGGATTCCCTGAGTCCAGGAAGTTGAGGCTGCAGTAAGCTGTGACTGTGCCATTACACTCCAGCCTGGGACACAGACTTGAAAAACAATAATAATAATTATATTATTTTAACATGGCTTTATTATTATTTATTATTAAATTTAAGGCAAATTTTGTACTTTGGAGGGTTACAACAGTTAAGAAACTTGAAAAATTAGTCATCATAAATAGATGAAAACATTGTATTCTTTGAAGCAAGAAGTTATAATTTTGATGTAGTCCAACTTATCTATTTTTTCTTTGTTAGCTATGCTTTTGATGTCATTTAAGGAGTCACTGCCAAATCTATATTCATGATGGTTTTCCCCTATTTTTGTCTAAGAGTTTTTAGTTTTAGCTTTTAAATTTAGGCCTTTGATCCATTTTTGAGTTAATTGCTATATATTGTGTTAGATAAGGGTCCAACTTCTTTCTTTTGCATGTCAATATCCACTTTTCTCAGTACCATTTGTTGATAAGACTATTTTTTCTCTGTTGACCGGTCTTGGCACCCTTGTCAAAAATCAGATCGTGTTTGACAAAAATGAAATCTATTGATATATATTATTTGGTGCTATCTTACAATGGTACATACACACTTAAATCTGATTTTCTTTCTTTTTTTTTTTTTTTTTTTTTTTTTTTTTTTTTTTATTTGGAGTTCTCACCCTGTTGCCCAGGCTGGAGTGCAGTGGCACGTTCACGGCCACTGCAGCCTCGACCTATTGGGCTCAGGTGATCCTTCCACTTCAGCCTTCCAAGTAACTGGAACTACAGGCATGCACCACCATGCCTGGCTAATTTTTTGATTTACTGTAGAGATGAGATCTCACCAAGTTGCCCAGGCTGGTCTTGAACCTGTGGGCTCAGGCAATCCTCTCACCTTGACCTCCCAAAGTGCTGGGATTATCAGCATGAGTCACCACGCGTGGCCGAATCTGATTTTCAATCACTGGTTTCAGCAAATATTTACAAATTTGTGCCAGGAGCTGGGAACACAGTATCAACAGAGACACACGGCACCTCTGCCCTATTACTAAACTTTCTACCAGGGAATTCAAACAAATAATCAATTACTCTCTTACAACAGAAATCAGCCCCATGAAGGACAAATACACGGTGCCATAACTGATTTAATAGGGAGCCTTTATCTGGGGGTTAGGAAAGACTTTTTTGAGAAGTGACAATAAGGAATAAGGAAGTTGAACATTCCCGACAATATGTGCTGTTATGTTCAAAAGTCCTACAGCAGGATGAAGCGTGATATGTTAGGAACTAAAAGACTAGTGTGGCTGAACGGCAAAGAGGAGAAGAAAATCACAAAATGATAGTGATATCATTAATTCACAACATGGTACAAGACAATCTAGAATACTGATTTCAAGTAGTAGCATATATTCCAATATTCACTTAGCATTGATTTGGGTTTATTTGATCCCTATCAACAATAGGAGAAATGAAGACGTGTAAATGCCAACATCACAAATGAATTGTCTTAAATCCCTCTAACACTTTACACCATTCTGTGACTGTTAATATATTTTGTGTCATAATTGTCTGGCAAGAACTACTTATATAAGTATCAAGTACTACAATAAAAAATATATTAGGTACCATAGGAATACAGAGTCATTTGTATACTTGTACAATGAGACTGTAAATTCCTTGAGGGCTGGTATTCTTACTCATCTTTACATTCAGTTCAGTAACCAGTACAGTGCATGACTCCCTAGGAGGCCTCTAACAGTTACTGAGTGAATCCTGGTCCCTGTGACTCATAGTTATGTTCCTAATTGGCACAAATCCTAATCTGAGGTTAGTTGGCAGAAGTCTCCCTGAGAGACAGTGACTGAGAAACAAAACAGCTCGTGACTTTTTAGAACAAAAGGAATTTTTAAAAACAAAAATGGAAATGTTACTTAGAGCTATTTTAGAAAGCAGGCTAAATACACCACTGATTAAATGTACTGGGAAGTTTAACCTGAAGATATGAAGAAAACTAAAGTCTGAAAAAAGTTAGTAAAACTGAGTTTCCTGGTGATGGGGGTGGGTGGACAGGATGGTCAATGAGAAAAACAAAAAGAAAGTTCAAAGTTTTAGACTTGCTGACATCAACTTTAAAGAAAATAATGTTCCATGGCCACGAGGATAGAAATGCACTACGGACACAGGAGGTCAAAAAACAACGAGCAAGGAGGAGAAGGTGCTGACTGGGGCTAGAATGAACAGATTGTTCTACAGGGTCCAGTCTTTTCTCTCACAAAAGGGCAAGTACTTCCGCCTGGTTCTGTGCCATACCCATCCTGTGTTGTGTCATGGCTGTTTGTCAGGGAGCTTGTGGAATCTACTAGCATCATACATCAGAATGGTTCACTGGAGTCCAATGAGCAGAATAAGGCTCCATTATATTAAGGTAAAAGAAACACAAAGCTTTCATGTTCTTTTAAAAAAAAATCTAGTATTTCAGTTTCTACAAGCAAAAAAATGTTTCCAAAACTCATAAAAGAATATAAACATTTCAAAAAAAGAAAAAAGAACAGCCAAGAAAATAAATTCACAATTAATTATCTTGGGAAGATATCTTATCCTCTGCAACAGCAGCAACACCAGTAAGAGAAGTGAACTGTCTTGGAATCTAACTCTTCTTTTCCTTCTAAAAGTGAGGTATAGCGCTGCTGTTACACAAAAACTTCGGATTCCAATATTTTGACCTTCCTATCATGAATGATATGGCAGCCAGACCCTGATGAAAACAATCTCTGGAGCTAATGGCCAACCAAGTATGACACATCCAATCAGTTCCTTCCCTAGAAGTACTCTGCTTCCACATCCACACCATCCAATTCCCAGATTCTCTCTGGTGCTACTTTGCCAGCCTTTTCTTTCAACTCCCTTTAAATTGGAGGGGGAAACCCCAAAGTCCAAATCATCAGCTTGCTTCTTTTCTCTTCACATATTCTCTACCAGAGAACACACACATTTCCCAAGACTTCATCTACACCCATGATTCTCAATTAGGGGTGATTTTATCCCTCCACCCGGAGACATCTGGCAATGTCTAGAGACATATGTGATTGTCACAACTTGGAGGAACAGGGGACTTGTTACTGACATCTAATGAGTAGAGACCAGGGACACTGTAAACATCTACAATGCCACAGGACAGTCCCCACAAGAAAGAACTATCCAGCCCAAAATGTCAACGGTGCCACTGATTGGATACCCTGATCTACACAGATAACTTTCATTCATTCATTTCTTCACCTGACAACGATATTACTATTTAAAACCTGTCATGCCCAAAACATGAGGTAAGCACAGGAGAACTGCACATGCAGGCATCAATATGAAATGCATCATGTCCTTAAAAAAAAAAAGAGTACTTATATGAAGGAGATAAACCATGCCTCAGCCTAAGTTAGATCAATACTCCAGCCACCTCTGGGATATTTCCACAGTCACATGGCTAAAACCAAATACTTTATCATCTTCCCTTCTACCTGTTCCCACCACTACCCAACCCATCCCTTCTTTATATGCTCTATAATTTCCATCATACACCCCAAACAACAAGGCCATTCCAGGAACACTGGTAAATTCAAATTGTTTCTTCTTGCCTAATGTTGAATTAGAAGCCAAGTCCTTGTGAATTCACTCTGATTACATTTCTCAGGCTTATCCTTACTCCCTCTCCCCACTTTTTTTTCCCTACTGCTCAAACTCAAGATGTCCTCTGGTGCCTAGCGCTTTGTAACAAAGACACATTTTACAATGGGGGTGTGTGTGTGTGTGTGTGTGTGTGTGTGTGTGTGTGTGTGTGTTTTAAAGTTGAAGGCAACATGGGTATAGTGGAAAGAACATATCCTTCTGAGTAAAGAAGATAATTTAGGATTTTGGTTCCATTTACGAAATGAAGTGACCTTGAACAACTATTTCTCTGAGCTTGTTTCTTTCTCTGTAACAGCAGACATGAAGCCTAAATAGCAAGTTTGTTGTAAGGATAATGGAACTTGGGAGTATCACAGATATTACTATACAGCAACTATTACAATATTATAATTATATTGAACCTACAATGCCTCATATGCCATAGAAAAATATTCAATTTGGAGTAGACTGAAAATATAAACTATCAGAAGAGTATTGTATTTCTGAAATGTTAGGTTACTAACATCGTTAGTACTATTTTATATAAGTCCTGCCCAGATGACATGCAGGGAGCATATAAACCCTCTTAACCAAGCAAAAATGTTTTCAAGTCACAAATTTAAAACTCCCCAAACAGGTTTCATGAAGTGTAATCACTGTAGCATGAACCCAGCAATAGAGTGCTTATCACACAATACACTTACTTGTTCCACGTAATAAAAGTTGCTCTCTGTGTTGAAATGCCAAGACCAACAATTTGATTCATCTCTATTCCTGCAGCTAAAAGTAGAGATAGATAAAACACATATTTAAAAGTCAGTGAAGTTCTTCATTACAACATTACAGTGTGGAAAATAAACCATTCAATATCATCTTTAAGAAAAACATCTGAGTTTAGCATTCAAATAAAATAATTGAAGCTAATAAAGCATCACCAAGATGATTCCTTAGCATTTTTTCCACTTAAAGGGAAAAAAGGTCATATCTTAACTTTAAAATGTTGTTTCTGGTTTTAAATGTTAGAAAAAAATAAGTACTATTCAAAGTAAGTCAGATTGTATTCTTGATAATAAGGAATGGATCTTAGGCCAGGCACAGTAGCTCAAGCCTATAATTCCAGCACTTTGAAAGGTCAAGGCAAGAGGACTGCTTGAGCCCAGGAGTTTGAAACCAGTGTAGGCAACATAGAGAAATCTCGCCCCCACAAAACATCAAAAAATTGGCACATGTCTATAGTTCCAGCTATTCAAGAGGCTGAGGCAGAAAGATCACCTGAGCCCAGAAGTTGAGGCTGTGGTAAGCTGTCACCATGCCACTGCACTCTAGCCTAGGTGACAAAGTGAGACATTGACTCATGAAATAAAAAAATAAAATAAAATAAATGAGTGGGCCTTAATTTAAGCAATGATAAATCATAATAGAAGCTGGTTGATGGCAATAAAAGAAAACCCCTAAGGAAAATAGTATAATTTTTGAAACCGAGAACTTTATTTTCAACACAAACTGATGCCAGAATACATATGAAATCATGGGTTTGGGGGTTCAAATTTCTTAAAGTATAGCAAATCAAGTGTTGTTTTGAGATATTCTTTTAAAATCAATTTATCCTACTGGAAAAATCTGGGACAACTTCATTTGCAGCACTGAGGAAAACCAATCACCCCTATATAAGTATTCCTTCCAAAAATATTTAACCTGAATCCAATCATGAAGAAACAGACAATCCCAAATTGAGGTATGGTTTACTAAACTGGCTTGTACTTTTGAAAACTTGATGTCGGCTGGGTGTGGTGGCTCACACCTGTAATACTAGTACTTTGGGAGGCAGAAATGAGAGAACTGTTTGAGTCCAGGGTTTTCAGACCAGCCTGGGCAACTTGGTGAGACCTTGTCTCTGCAAATAAGTCAAGAAAAATTAGCCAGGTATGGTGGCATATGCCTGTGGTTCCAGCTACTTGGAAGGTTGAGGTGGAAGCATCACCTGAGCTTAGCAGGTTGAGGCTGCGGTGGCCATGAGCATGCCACTACTCCAGCCTGGGCAACAGAATGAGACTCCTACTAACACCAAACCAAACAAAAAACCTGTCAATGTCATGAAGAACATGCTCTAAACGAAAGGAGCCTAAACAGACTGACAGCTAAATGCAATGCCTCATCTTTGGCTGAATTCTAGGTTGACAAAATAAGTTATTTTTTACTGAAATGGGAGGGAATATTGAAAACAAAGTACTCAAAAATAATGCTGTACTAATGTTAAATTTCCTGAGTGTGATTACTGCACTATGGTTATGGAGTAAAATGTACCTTTTCTTTGGAGATAATGCTAGGAGTGAATGGTTCAAAAAATGGTAAACATCACACAATACATTTAATCTAAAAGATGGATACACAGTACTATTCCTGCAGTTTTTTATAGGTTTTGAAATATTTCAAGCCAAAAGGATAAGGAGAAGCAGAAAAATGAAGTAAAAGACCTTCTAGAATCCACATTTACTAGTCATCTTTTGCCATGTTCTTAAGCAAGGTTGTATTGAAAACATTCCTAAAGAACTAAGATTTTAGACCATGGCTGTGGCTAGGACAGCACTTTCATCAAGTGGCCACACAGAAAACCAAAACCAAAAACTTACTTTACAACAAAGGTAACTCAGGTGTAAACTCATGAGAGCAGGAACAGTGCATGATAACTTTGTTTATAGCCCTCTGGGATTTTGCACCCACTAGGAAATCAAATCAGCACTGGCTATAACCTGGAATGAAGGAGGGTGAGCATTTATATTTCAGCTGAAAAGAGCCAAACCAGAGAACACTGTTGCGGTTACCTTTCCTTGACAAAGTAGGTCACTGTAAACCATAAATTTCTCTTGAAAAGTAATGGAAAACTACAACTCTAAAAAAATACTATATGTATAAATATAAGTTAGGAAAAATCACAACTACAGAAGCCTGAGAAAAACTGTTATTACAAACAAAACATACTGTAAAGACTACTGTTATTTTTATAAATCCAATTACCTTTGACAGCTTCTTTTATTACAGCAACAAATTGAATCCAAAGACTATCAGGATCAATTTCAACCCAGCCAGTTTGAGGATAAAGATTTTCTACCTATTTAGGAAAAGAGAAGATTTAGTAAAACAACATTAGATTGAGTTAATAGTATCTGGGTGTTAAGACTACCGACTAAAATAGTTAACAACATGATTTTATTATCTCATTGATTTTTATTGTTAAAATTGAAAAAAAAAACACATTTGAAATAAAAAAGGACTATGTGCTAACACCAAAACAACAGTTCATGAGTTCACAAAAGATGTCAGCTTCTTTTACCTTCACCTTTATTTTTCCAAGTTGTATACAATGAAGATGTGTTATTGTAATAAGAAAGTCAGACTTTTAAAAAATTAAAAGTAAATGTAAAACAAAACTGAGTTTCAGTTCAGATTATGATAGATTAAGCACATTTCACTCTATCCTGTCTCTGCCACTGAATACAAACATAAAACCTGGGCAGAAAGCATGCAGCAGCTATTTATAGAATCTCAAAAAGTATATGGCAGCAGGTAGACTGGGAAAATCAATAAAAATTCAAGTACCACTGAAATACTAGTGAGTTTTCCATTTTTCTTCTGAAATCCACTCGTCTAGACTCAAGGTACCCTAAAACCACAACTGGGTACCAGGAAAAGCTCAAAAAACAGGAAAGGACACTCAGGGGAAATGGGAGACGGCCTTCAATTTTCTTACTTCTCCCTACTTGCCTCCATACTTTTGCAGCCAAACCAACCCACAATGGGGGCTGCAGCAGTAACAGTGATATCAGTGGCTTCAACAAGCACCTAAAATACAGAGGGAGATAAAACTTCCTCTCCAATCAGAGGCACTGTGGTCCCAAGAGGGTGAAGCTAATCCCTGTGGCTTTTTTCTATCTCTGTGCTTCTGTCACCAAGCCCTAGATGTATGCCACACAATGGGGTAATAACAGCCCCAGCTTTCTTGCCAGGAACCAAAAGGGGAGGCTCAGGGAATTAAAAAGTCCCCAGAGATCTCTGAGAGGGAGGAGCTTGGGAAAGAAACCACAGAAATTTATGTTAAACTCCTAGGCTTAAAGCTGCACCTGTCGTGGATGTAATCCTTAACAGCATGCCAAAGATGTTAAGAACAGAACTAAAGGATAGATCACTGTCCCAGTTCTGGTCTAACCACTAGGTTGGACACACAGCGCAGATCCAAATGGCACTCTCAAGGTTTTGAAAACAGAACTGACACTAAAGTCCCAGTCCAAAGAAGGCTGAAACCAATTGCAACAGCCACATTTTTCGTAGAATTTATGCAAGACCCTGCCTTTTAACACAATATTCAAAATGTCTAGGATACAACTCAAACTAGAAGGTATATGAAAAATCAGAAAAATCTTAACTCACATTGGAAAAGGTAATCAATAGATACCACCGCCAAGATAACACAGATATCTGATAAAGACTTTAAGCAAGCACTACAATCCCAGCACTTTGAGAGGCAGAGGCGAGAGGATGCCTGAGTCCAGGGGTTCGAGACCAGCCTAGCAACTTGGCAAGACCTCATCTCTACAATAAATCAAAAAAGTAGCCGAGCATGGTGGCGTTTCAGCCACTTGAAAGGCTGAGGCAGAAGGATCACCTGAGCCCAGCAGGTAGAAGCTGCCATGGCCATGAGTGTACCACTGCATTCCAGCCTGGGCAACAGAGTGATTCTCCAACTCAAAAATAAAAAATGGAAAAAAATAAAGCAGTTGTTATAAAAATACTCCAAGAAGTAAGAGTGAATACTCTTGAAAAGAACGGAAAAATAGAAAGTCTAGAAAGTCTCAGAAGGCCAGGTGCAGTGGCTCACACCTATAATCCCAGCACTTTGGGAGGCTGAGGTGAGAGGAATGCCTGAGCCCAGGGGTTCAAGACCAGCCCAGGCAAAATCCTCATCTCTACAATAAATCAAGAAAAATTAGCTGGACATGGTGGCACATGCCTGTAGTTCCAGCTACTCGGAAGGCTGAAGCAGAAGGATCATCTGAGCCCAGCAGGTCGAGGCTACGGTGGCCATGAGTGTGCCACTGTACTACAGCCTGGACAACAGAGTAAAACTCCAACTCAAAAACAAAGAAAAGAAAGTCTCATCAAAGATAACTGTAATAATCACATAACTATGTATATTAAAGTAAGTAAATCAAAACATCATGTGGTACACATTAAGCATATACAATTTTAAAAGGGAAGGAAGTTGGGCGTGTACAGATTACACCTGTAATCTCAGCACTTTAGGTCAAGGTGGGAGGATCACTTGAGTCCCAGAACCCAGAAGCTCAAGACCAGCCTAGGCAACATAGAGAGAGCTCATCTCCATAAAAAAAAAATTTTTTTTAATTAGTCGGGCTTGGTGGCACGTGCTATTGTCCCAGTTACTTGGATGAGTGAGACAGAAGGACTGCCTGAGCCCAGATGTGGAAGCTGCAGTGAGCAGTGATCATGCCACTGCACTCCAGGCTGAGCGACAGAGTGAGACCACAACTCAAAAAAAAAAAAAAAAAAAAAAGAAGAAGAAGAAAGTCATAGAAGATAGAAAAAAGAAAATTTTAGACTTGAAAAATACAGTAATCAAAATTGAAAACTTACCGGATGGGCTCAACAGCAAAATGGAGATAAAATAGGAGAAAATTTTTTTTAAAACTTGAAGATAGATCAACAGAAATTATCTACTCTGAACAACAAAAAGAAAAAAATGGGAAGAAATGAACAGAATCATGGAGACATGTGAGACAATAGCAAAAGATTTAATATTTGTGTAATCAGAGTCTCTGAAGAAGAAAAGAAAGAGTTCAGGGCAGAAAAAAATTACTTAAGGGAAGTAATAGTGCTAAAAGCCTCCCAAGTTCAGTGAAAGAGTTCAAACCTAAAGATTTGAGAAGCTCACAAAACTGCTACCGGAATAAATCAAAGCATTACATATCCAGCTATATCCTAATTAAAATGCTAAAAACTAAAACAAGGAAAAAGATAGAAAGTGGTCAGACACATTAAACATACAGAACAATGATTCAAATGACTGTGGATTGTTTATCATAACCATAAAGGCCAGAGAAAAGTGGCTCGATATTTATAATGTGCTAAAAGAAAATAACTGTCATTCCGGAATTCTATATCAAAATCTCAACAGGCTATTTTGACAATAAAGACAAGATGATTCTAAAATTTATAAAAGGCAAAATAACTAAAATAGTTAAAACAGTGTTGAAAAATAATGAGAGAGCAAAAAAGAATAAAGTTAGAAGAAACACACTATACAATTTCAAGACTTACTATAACGCTACAGTCATCAAAATAGTGCGCTACTGGCATAAAAATAGACAAATAGATCAACAGAACAGAATAGAGAGTCTAGAAATAGATACACACAAATATAACTGATTTTCAACAAAAGTACAAAGGCAATTCAATGGAGAAAAGACAGATTTTTAACAAATGGTGTTGGAAAAATTGGACCTCCATATGTAAAAAAAAAAAACTTCAACCTAAACTTCACAGCTTACATAAATATTAATTCAAAATGGATCGATATCTAAATGCAAAACATTTAGAAGAAAACACAGGAGAAAATCCCTGTGACTTGGAGTTAGGCAAAGAATTCTTAGAACACCAAAAATATAATCCATATAACAAAAAATTGATAAACTGGACTTTGTCAAAATTAAAAACATTTGCTCTACAAAAGATGCTGTTAAGAAAATGAAAAGACAAAGTACAGACTTGTAGAAAATATCTGTAAGTCACACATCCAACATATCAAGAACATATATAGAAATCTCAAAATTCAACGGTAAGAAAACAACCCAATTTTAAAATGGGCAAAAGACTTCAAGCATTTCCCAAAGAAAATATATGGATGGCAAATTATGTACATGAAGATATTCAACATTAGCCATTAGAGAAATGCAAATCAAACCCACAATGAGTTACCAATCATTGTGGATAAATAAAATCCAAAATACTAAAAATCAACTGGATGCGGTAGCTCATCCCTATAATATCAGCATGTTGGGAGGCCAAGGAGGATCACTCAAGGGCAGTAGTTCAGCCTAGGCAACATAGTGAAACCTCATCTCTGTAAAAAGAAAGAAAAAGTCAGGTATGGTAGTACATGCCTGTGTAGCCCCAGCTATTCAGGAGGCTGAGGCGGAAGGAACATCTAAGTTGAGGTGACCGAGGCTACAGTGATTCATGATCTGCCACCACACTCCAGTCTGAGTGACAGTGAGAATCTGACTCAAAAAAAAACAAAAAACAAACAAAACAAACCACCAGGCGCAGTGGCTCGTACTTTGAGAGGTAGAGGCGAGAGGACAGCCTGAGACCAGAGGTTCGAGACCAGCCTGAGCAACAAGGCGAGACCTTGTCTCTACAATAAAAAAAAAAAATTAGCCAGGTATGGTGGCACGCGCCTGTAGTTCCAGCTACTTGAAAGGCTGAGGTGGAAGGATCGCCTGAGCCCAGCAGGCCGAGGCTGCAGTGGCCGTGAGCATGCCACTGCACTCCAGCTCAAGCGACAGAGTGAGACTCCAACTCAAAAAAATAAATAAATAAATAAAAATTTAAAAAATATATTAACTTATCATATAATCCAGCAATCCCACTCCTAGGTATTTACTCTAGAAAAATGAAAACTTATGTTCTCATTACAAATCTGTACATATGAGGAGAGACCAAAAAAATACTAGAATTATCTGTTGGCGGGCAGGTCCCTTGTAGTACAGGCTTCTCCCACTAGCTAAGTGTGCTAGGAACCCATCAGCATCAGTATACCAGTTACTGTCGTTGTGAGGGGCTGCATTTGACTTCAGTGAATTCTTTCAACATGCCTATTTCATGATGGGTGATTTACAAGCACACCTGCCCACACAGCACTGAGTGTTCAGCAGTTTTTGACCGAAAAACAGCATGACTCCCATGGCCCACGTTCCCTATTCTCGCCCCAAAAGACTTTTTCTTGTTTCCTGGAATGAAAAAAGTCCTCAAAGGGAAACATTTTGCCAATGTGGAAAAGGGGAAACAAAAAAACGGCAGAAGCACTAA